GTATAATACCTGTCATTGAAGTTTTTTACGACAAAGTCGTCCAGCGCCTGGGCGGCGTGAAGCAACAGGCCCCCCAGAATGCCCGCTGCACACTGCTCCCGTAGCAAGCGGACGACATGAAGGCTAAGGGCGGGCACAACCTGACAGGAACCACGACCAAACAGCGAACACGACGCCCCTGCGACCCCGAAGTGGAAAGACGAGATTCCAGCGGCGGATGGGGCATCATCACGATGACCCGGAGAAAAGCCACTTGCGAATGAGGAGTCGAGCCAACCAGGAGCGTCACCGCGGACTTGTGAACCAAGTCGACGAAAGCCAAGCCAGTCTGTGCCTGGCAAGCCATTGTCCAAGGCAGTCATCAATTGAAGGGCACGGCATCGTATCGCATGGCACGGCACAGCATGGCATGGCCCATAGAACTTGGTTCGTTAATTGTGTGGTAGTGTACCTCAGGTAAGGTATTCGGGTATCAAGTAGCAGCAAAGTGCGGTGGTCAGAAGGGGCACATTCGTAATGGCAGGCCCAAAATGACCAAGGGCCGAGAAGGTTTGGTGTGGGGTTGGCACGGGGGGGGGGGGGGTTGAGATGGGATGGGACGAAAGGATCATGTCGTCGGCGACGGCGATGGACAAGCTCTGGTGGTGTTGAATGGCGGCGGAGGGGGCTACCCAAGAAGCGTACTATGTATTACGGGACGGACACCTGCGGATTGCATTTTGATCCACTGTACAAGGACCCCCAAACCAAGCCGACGCAAGATTCTTGCTACAGGGACGGAGCACACGAGGCGTTGAATACCGTCCCTTGCGCTCCAGGCTAGCGACACGAGCTCGCGAGAGGGAAGCTGCTGGGCCGGTTGTTGCAAGCCGATGCCGAGTTGCCCAGACTCGACTCGATGGACGGGGGCGATGGCCAGTTCCACGAGAACGAAGATGGAGTACCAGGTACGCTGGGGGCCTGGACAAGAGGGCTGGAGCTGACGCAAGTTGGACATGCAGGGAAGTATCGAGTACCCCCTCTTTTTCTCATTATTTTTTCTCTCTTTCGACGTCGATTCATTCTTTTCCCCATCACGAGCTATTCACAGTCTTCGCGGTTGCAGCAGACTGCAGCCCCCCTCCAGAGCCACACCTGCAAGCCGCCTCTTCCCTGCCATGCCGCGCCTTGCCCTGTCGTATTCTGCCCCTTGTCGACCTGCCTGCGTGCTAGTAGCGGTGGTAGTAGTAGTGGTGGTGGTGGATGCGAGGCGTCGTCGCTTGCTCTGCCATGCTGCTGCTGTGGCCAGCGCCGCCCTTTCCCTCGCAGGTTGCAGCCGGTTGTTCGACCTCAGGGCTCGAGACCCCACTGAGGTGCCAGGTCTTGGTCCCTTCGGCTCACCCTAGAATTCTCAATCAGCACTGCAGACGGCAAAAGAGGGAGAGGAGGCGTTGGCGCAAGAGAAGGTGGGAGATGCGGATAAGGGGGAGGGGGTGTGTGTGACGAAATGGAAGAGAAACCGAGCAGGACGTCGAAAGAAAACATAAAGAATGAGGGGCAAGAGGGGTGTGGGCGCATCAAACCGACGGGCGACACACACACGACGACGACGACGACGACAAAGTCTGGGACAAATTTGGGGGGACCTTTGGGAAAGTGGGAAAGTCACTGAGGCGCCCGACAGACGACGGACGGACAGACACAACACACACGGTGAGGCTAGGTACGTACCCGCGGGTTTTTGGGCCTTGAATCTCCCCGTCCCCCCCAGTGCTAGACACTGGATGCCAAAGGGGCTTACGGGCTGACGGGCTGGTGGTTAGTCCAACACGCGGAGACTCGGACCATTATCTCACACTGTACAGGAAGGCTGCACCACGCCAACACCATACAGTCTCCCTTGTCCGGCTTAGTAGCCGTCGCTTCCTTTTCCCCTTCGTTCCCTTCCCTCTTCGCAACCCTTTGGTTTTTGGGGCCGCGTCCAACCATACCCTTTCCTGCCTGGACCGGAAAAAAAAGAAGAGGTGGCAGCCTGCACTGCACCTGCCCTCTTGCTCCTCCTCTGTCTAGTTGCTGCACCTGGACTGGCTCCAAGGCAGAAGGCACCGGTGGATCAGACTGGGCTTTTGTGGAGCCTTTCTCAAGGGGAAGCAAAAACGACCACTCAGGTGCCACTCCACCGGCACGAAAGAACGACACAACTGGCCTTCCGCAGTCCACTTCTTGCACTTTGCACACACTTGCAAAAGAGTTTGGCTTTTGATCTTCCCCCCCCCCCCCCCCCCCCCCCCCCGTCTTTCGGCTTTGCACGCCCTTCTGCTCTGGCACGCCCCCTTCAGCACCTCAGCGCTCACACCCCACTCTCAACTGGTGGTACCTCAGGCTCGGAGTCAGGTGTGTTCTGCCGCTGCTGGTGGATGGATGGGTGCTGAGCCTGCCGCTTGGCTCTTGCTTTACTCCGTCAGGTCAGTTTTCCCAAGTAAGCCCTGAGCCCGCCCATCCTCGTTAGTCCGCGCCCCCGGTCCCCATCCTCGCAGACACGATACCAGCCCCGATCCTGCCTAGCGCCCTAGTCCCAGAACAGATGCGAAAGAATGGTCGGGTCGGCCATGGCAGGGGGGTTTTGGGGGGGTTTAGTAAACTGACGAGGTGGGCTAGGGCCCAGGGAGTTAGGGAAGCTGCGACGGAGACTGGCTGGTCTTGGTCAAGGTCTGGGTCTCTAGGTCTGGGTCACAGTGTGGTTTGTCTTGAATGTCTTTGAGGTAGGAGCAGCTGGAGCTGGAGCTGTGCGTGGTGTTGACGTTGGTCTTGTTGTTAGCCCCAGACGCGAGTTTGCGAGACTGTACACTACTATAGCATTGAGAGGTACCTTTTTGGTGGTAAATGGTCGACGAGGTACTTGCTTCCCTTCCTCTTCCGTTGCCCCTCATCGCCCTTCCTTCCTCGTCTGCTTTCCCTCCCCCCCAAGCGCCGTCGTGGCCGCCGCCGCTGCCTCGCTCCTCGCTACCTGGTTGGTCGGTCCAAGGGCACTTGCGCCTTGCGTACCTGACCAAATCGACCTTGGTCCCTTTCCCTTCCCGGCGTTCACTTTTCCTGACTCTTCTTTTGATGAGTGCTTGCTCCCCGCTGGCTGTCGCTGCTGCTGTTGCCGCTGGTTTTGGGTTTGTTTGTTGGTGCTGGCTGAGCTGCCCGGTGCGCAGCTGCAAATAAAATAAAGAAGCAGGTACTTTGGGGGAAGTACCTCAGTCTTCTCCTTCCTTGCAAGAAAGGGCAGGGGCGGGAAGAGGTCGTGACTTGTGACCTTTTGTCTCCTGCCGCTGCCGGCCTGCGCCTGCTCCTTCTTCTGCTCCTGCCACCAAATGTTTTATTTGTTGGAGCCCCGTACTCCGTCCCCCGTACCGACAACCGTACCTTTTTCCCAACTTGGATTGATCCAAAGACAGGCAAGGGTACATGGAACAAGGTACCTTGGTCCCCTCCCCCCATCCACCTTACGTCCCATCCCATCCTATCCTGTCCTAATCCATACCCAAAATCCCCAATCCCAATCCCATGCTTTCGCACCACACACCAGCGGCCAGTGACCCCATCCAGGCGCGGATACGCTACCTTTGACGCTACGCGCTACTCCGTACACCAGGATAAGGTACTTACTCCTCCGAAATATGTGTGAGGTGTGAGGTGTGTGAGTGACAGAGAAAGAGCAGGAACCACCACTCGGAAGGAGAGAGAGTCCAGACAACGAACGACGCAACCATATCACTAGGCCCGATACCTACCTCCGGTTTTTTTATTATTATTTTTTGCTTCGGCTTGCTTCAATCTATCACTTCGTACCCTTTCTACGCTGACCCTGGTCCTTGCCTTGCTTTGCCTCACTTGCCTTGCTTCTTCTTCTTCTGCTGCTGCTTGCCTTCTTTTTTTGTAATTGTTGCTCCGGCTCCTGAACATTCTCAAGAGAGTGTGCCAATACCCAACCCACTCCTACAATACAATTACAACATCATCCCGCATCCTCTCTTGCATCCTACCGAATCACGGCGCTCCATTGGACTCAACACCCACGAGCCCTTCATTCACACGGACGATCTGAAGTACACCTCGGTGGTTTACGGTCCCCTTTTCCCACCTCATACCTGCCTTCCGCCGAGTTCCTCTTACAACCACCCGCCACCAACAAAACCACCCATTCACCCCTCCGAACTACCTGACCGGACCTGACCAACGAACCCGTTTTCAAAATCACCTTGCTCAACTCGATCTCCGATACCGAAAGTTGTTCCTGCACCATTGACGACTGCAGTTCAAGGCTTACCCTTTTCCCGACAATCCGACCACTGTGACGAGGGTCTTGGTTCGCTTTCGCAGTTTGAACCGAGCTCTTCTCGATCTTACCCTCCTACCATGGCCAGCCGGTCAACCAGAGAACGCCGATAAACACAGCTTCAGCAAACTCTACCGAAACAAACTGGTAACCTGCTGTCACGGCAACAAGAGAGGGAAACCACCTGACGAGAGGGCATCCCGACAATCTAGACTGACGTTCTGCCTGACTCAAATCTCTCCAGTTTTCCGCCTCCTGCATAGCTCTTGCCGGAACGCTCTAACTGCATCGTCGTCACGAGTCTGTTGTCTGCTTCAACCTCAAATGTAGCAGCCCGCGGCTTGGACTTCCCTTCACTTACACTCCTCAACCCGCCTTCCTCTTCCCATCTCCACCCGGACACCTTTCTCCGACGCAGTGCCAACAAGTACTCGCCATTTCGTCGCCCACCGACGACCGACTCGAGCTCCCTCCACGAGCCACCCACCGAAACCACCCCGCTCCGATGTGTTCGACTGCGGCACCTCTGCCCTTCTACAGCCTCCCTCTGTCTCCTGCACCCCCCGCGTCGTGCAGACAGAGCTACTCTCAACAGACCTCATACCCAGCCTCTCACGCCCAGAAGCAGTCTAGGTTCGATCAAGGGGCCAGAGCTGCTCTGTACCGGGGCGGACTTCATACGCCGCCAACCGAAGCCATGAGTGCTACCTACCACGCCCCTCAACTCGTCGCCTACGACAGCCATGTCCTCCCTTCATATCCCTCTGCTGTCGCCCAAGCCAGAGGTCCTAAGGCGGTCATGGCCGACTCAGCGAGGGCTCCTCAGTATTCTCGATACTCCCAACCGACGACATCATACTCCCAACCCAGCAGCCGGCAGTAAATCCTGCGTCCGGTAGCAGCCAGTATTCCACAACCTCCCGGCACTCAACTCGCCCGTCCACGCCAACATCGGGCGCTATCGGCAAGTCGGATGGCACTGCATCACGCAAGGGCTCCTCAGCTCTGGTCCTGCACAGCCTGTCGATACCAAGCTGCATCAACCCCAAGGGCGGCAATTTGGCAGACTTTGCGGCTCAGGTAAGAAATCATGACCGTCCGTCCAAGTAGGAATTGTCTACTGACCATGCCGTAGATTACGTGCCTCTTCTGGTTCGAGTCGATAGAGACCCTGCGGGCAGCTGAGAACATTCGATCCCGACCGCCAACCGCCACGTTGCCCCGTCTGACCGAGTGCGCGATTCCGTTTTCTCAATTCAAGAAGTGGGCCTACAGCGTGCTGTCGACGACGCAAGTAACACAGAATGTTATCCTGCTCGCTCTGCTCTTCGTCTACCGTCTGAAGACAACGAATCCTTCGGTCAAGGGCCGGTCGGGCAGCGAGTATCGTCTCTTGACGGTTGCTCTGATGCTGGGCAACAAGTGTAAGTGCAGGCCGCTAGAGGAGAAGAAACAGGGGGCTGACAGTATCTAGTCTTGGATGACAACACCTACACCAACAAGACCTGGGCCGAGGTGTCTGGCATTACAGTGCAGGAAATCCACGTCATGGAGGTCGAGTTCCTTAGCAACATGCGCTACAGCCTGCTGGCAACCAAGCAGGAGTGGGAGGAGTGGCTTGTCAAGCTGTCCTGCTTCTCAGAGTACTACGAGAGGGCCCAGAAACAACCCACTTCACCGTTGAACAAATCGTTCACCTCGCCGGCCCCCTCGCCCACTGCCACCATCCAGTCCGCCGTCTCGTTTCCGCCTCTTACGCCTTCCGCCACAAACGTCTTCTCACCAACCGCCACTGTCCAGAACACGACCCAAGCATGGCCCTCGACATACCACAACCCCTCAGTGTCTCCACTTTCTGGCAAGCACGTTCCGGGTATGAACTGCCGCAAGAGAAGCTCGGAGGACGATGCGACGGAGCCCCCGGCAAAGCGACTTAGCAGACAGCCCAACACGATGCCTCCAGTCGCTCGGCCCCAAGTGGTCGGCGAGCAACCCATGCGTCTCCCGGTTCCCAATCTCTCGCTGAACACCAACCCCGCTTCGGCACAGGGCCAGATGTACCCAGGCACGACTTCTTACGCGGCGCAGCAACACGTCTCGCTGCCGCCTCTGACCAACGGCGTCCGCGCCATGGCGACGGTGTACACTCCTGCCACAACAGTCCCGATGCCGCAGCTGCCCATGCCGACCACGACTTCGATGCCCCAGGCCTCGCTTACGCCGTCGAACGTCTCGATGCACGGCGTTATGGGATATGGCACCCCGACCAAGAGGCACAGCCCCGGGAGCCTGTCGGTGTATGCCTCATCGCCACTGGGAGAGCAGTTCCCAACATCGGTCATGCACACCCCGATGGTACACACGCCCATTTCGCACTCACCAAGCGTATACCTTCAGCAGCGACCGAGCCCGTACAAGCCTATCAGGCACGTCAACACACTTCTGTACCCCCCGCCATCGGCGTCTCTTAACGAGTACCACCTGCCCACGACGCAGATGCACTACCAACCTCTTGGACGGCGGAACGACCTGCGAACCGGCGTTGTCCCTGAGTTTATGCACGCCCCCTACCGGTTGAGCGCGCAAATGCCGCAAATGCCACACGGTCTGCCGCATGGATCATACCCGAACTAGGAGCTTGGGAGTCTTCGGCTTCCACCGCCACCACCACCATTCCTCGGCCTCGGCTGAAGTGGACTTTCTTTTCCATGATATTATTTTAGCATTGCATTGTTTATGGCGTAGGATGAGGGCCATTTATTTATTCACGACCAGCCTGGGCAACGACCGGGATGGATACTCTCGGGAAATTTGGGAATTGGGCAAGGGAAGAGACGACTCTCATGGATCAATTGTGAAAATTGCATTAGGCGGAGTTGTCTTTTTGACTTTTGGCTTTTGGAATCATGAGGCAATGGGTCTGAAGGCCGAAGGAGCCATGGCCGCTCAGGTTCGTGTAACATCTACCACATTTCGAGGTGGGCTTAGTGCGCATCTCTCAGGCTTGGCTGGCAGCTCGGGATATTTGGGTCTTCCGATAGGTCGGTCGGCCTTTTTCGGCGTAGATAGAAGCAAAATGTCAGCAATGACTGCTAGATTACGAAAAGATCAAACGAACCAGATTTACAATAGTAAAAACGAGGCCTGGCGTGTTTTTTACGAGCAGCTTTTGATGTGAGATCTGGGGGTGTGTGGATTGGTGAGGATGAGATTGTGGATTGAGTTCAGTGGTGGTAGCCAATCAGAGATGGACGGTGACATTCTTGCTTTGATGACGCTGGCTTGCGAGGAACACGGTGTGAAGTGTGTGTATATGTACATTACACTGTGCGAGAACCGATTGTGGTCGTCCGCCAGTCGGAATAGAATGGTTGGAGGGTGTCCGTCCCAGTGATTTGGTTAATCACGACTCTCTTGAACACATTTGTGCAAGAGACCTGAATCTAGATGTCATGCATGGCGGCTTGCGTGGTGTACGGGGCCTCTCTCTGGAGTCCGCTTGATGGCCGGGAGCGGGATGTGCACTGCAGGCTCGTGGTGGCGGCTGGGTGTTTGGGGTTGCTTTGTAGGTGAGTATTATCCCCGAGCCTGGTGCTGTAGGAAGAAGAGGCCATTTGGTTTGCGAATCTGACGCAGGGCTCCATGGCCTCGTACGCTGGTGCTGATGGAGGGGGGTTGTTGGCAGTGTTTCGGGCAGAGTACGTTGTGAAATGCGGCGCGAGACGCTGCGATCGGTCTTCCGCTCGATGGAACGCCGTGGTGGTCGTGAATATGTAGTGCTCTGGGACGCGGTCGACGGACCGACCGCCTATCTGGTCCAGACGAGCTACTTCGCTGTCGGTTCCAGGATCAATGTAAGGCCTTGCTCTGCTGGGTCAGCGTTGCCAGAGGAGCGCCCGGGATCTAGTAGCAACAAGGGCGTGCTCAGCTCTTGGAGCTGACCTCGAGTTCTTCGATATTACGGGTCCTCGTCCGAGGATACTTGATCAAACTGCCCAGAAGGCATTGCTTTTTTCCAAAAAGGGTGCTGGGCTCACTTCACAGGAGTTATTCCATCTCATTGCTGTATTGCTACTCGAAAGCCTGCGATCTTCTGTCGAGAACCCGTGGTTATTTTCGGACCATCGACGTCGTCGGTATACAGGCTTACGGCACAAGTGGTCTAAGCCTCCGTTGTTGCTTCCATATCTAGTTGGAAATAAGAACCCGAAGAGTCTGGGGCTGTGAGCAGAACGAGAAGAGTAAGCTTCTCGAATGTCACAACCCCACAACGTTGGCCTGTCCTAACCTCTGACAGTGTGCGAATTGCTATACAAAGACCCTTTGAGCCATGGAAGTTTATCTCAATGTAAACCAGGGGGGGCTCTCACTAACCTGCAGTTACCCAGGCCGCAGTTCGCATAGAAGCGCGGGGATCGAAGGCTTAGAGTAACATACCTGGCAACTTGGGACAAAACAACTTATAAGACTTTAACAACGCTGAAAAAGACTTTTGGGCTAAGGTGATGAACTAACAGATGGCCACGCATCAGGAGACTGAATCACACTGGCCCTGTGATTGATTGAAGGGTTGGAAGCAAACTTGCATGTCCTAGCAGAGGGGTTGAGCATACAAGGGGGTATGTTGCCGGTTACGGGTTTTGTTGCTCCTTGGTATTTGTTCACACATCAATGTTGGCACGCCGAGACTAGAGGGAAAGCACGCCATGAGGGAAACATGGGACGGATTCTCCGGCTCGAGACGACCTCGCGAAAGATGCGGAGCTATTGGGACGAGGCGTTAGGGATACGAAGGGATTTCGAGACTAAGTAGCTTCAGTGGCACAGAGCATTCGAGATCACCGAGTACACTTCGAGTGCAGTTCTAGGACGGAAATCGTGCGGCGCCTCTGCGGATCTTCTAGTCTCGACATGTTGGATTCAGCAAGGTCCAGACAGCGGACGGTGGATGGCGGACGGCATGTGTTCTGGTGCCTTTCCGTCATCATCGTGTAGTTTTGACCAAGGGAATCCCAAACTGCACTGGTAAAAAAGTTCAAACTCACGAGTAACTTGGTAGGACAATACCAAAATGAACCGCGACCAAAGAGCATGTTCTTGAAGTTTCTGATCGATGCCACTGTTGCCTCACGAGATTAACCTTTTGCGGATCAGCCGCCGATACGTCGTGTTTGGCACTACCAACTTCTTGCTCTGCAAAAAGCAAAGTCAAAGACGTGTACAAGGTTGACCCAGAGATGGACTGAGCCACTGCTCGTCAAGCCGTGGAACTGCCGATCGAGCTTTTTACTCCGTTGACGTCCTGAACCTTAGCCAAGTATCCCACGACAGCATCGGAGATGGCCCTGCCGCCATAGACAAGATGGACGGGCAACGGCTGCTGGGAAGAAGGAAGCCTTCGACATTGAGCATCGTTCCGGTCTTTTGAGCAGACATTCATGCACATACAGAGATACTCGCCAGACCAACGCCCTGACTCAAGATGGACTTCCGAATCTTCAGGAAATCAAAGAGTGCCGGCGACGTCGCTGACCTGGCCTCCAACGATATAATCCCCGTGCGCCGCATCACCTCAAACAGCATGGCCTACGCGCTGGCTGCCCAGCAGAAACGGCCCGAGGTGGACATGGCGACCGTCTGGAAATCCATCGACGCGCCCCGGTCGACGCTCAAGATCGATAACTCCACTTTCTTCCTTCCAGCAGGTCCCATGGCCGACGACAAGTTCTGGATGGTCTTGGCCAACGGTGACATCGGCATGGTGACCAAGAACGGCTTCGTTGTAGAGGACAGCGGGGTGAAGTACCATGTTAAGAGAAAGGACCGAAGCAATGGCTTCACCTTCCATTGCGGGACCCTGACCATCATCCTCCATCCGTCCAAGTCGCTCCGTCGATGCTTCATCGGGCACGGGGCCATGGCCGAGAAGCGAATCATCATGAGGCTCCAGGCGGACTGTCAGTATGCGGCCGACAAGGTCACGAACTGCATGGCCAGCATGCTGTGGTACAACGTGCAGTCGCACGGCAGCATGCAGTGGCGGACGGAGACGAACATCGCAGACGACCTGGAAAAGGCAGCGCAGGCTTTGAGCGAGCTTGTCGATTTCGCCGCCCGGTTCATCAAGGTGATGAGGAGGCAGTATCAAGGCGATGGCAGGGAGGAGACGATGCCCGCGGCGTACAAGAATGCTCTCAAGCTGCTGGTGCTGGCGAAGTGGTACCGCATCCACCGCGCCCTCAACTCTGTCCAGTGCATGGAGAAGGCTTTTCGGCGATCAGTCGACCGGTCGGCTCACCCGGCGGCCCAGCACCGATCCGACAACTTCATCCAGTCCAATCTGCTCGGCATGCTGGGGTGGGGGCTCGCACCCGGGAGCATGGGCTCGCAACGAGACGTACTACAAGATGTGTTGACCACGCTAGAGGTTCTTGGTACCACCGACTGGGGCCTCTTTGAGGAGAAGGACGTGAGGGCAAGGATGGAGCAAACGGCAACTACAGTCAGGATCGTCAAAGAGGCCAGCTTCACCATTTGGACGCAACAAAAAATTATGAGGTTTCTGCGACACCGGCCGCTGCGTGGACTTGATCCGGCCGAGGTGCGCTTGGCAGGTCAAGAATCGAGAAGCGAGGAAAGCATACACCCCTCTCACTTGCGGATGCTAAAGGTTCTGCCATGGGTCAAGAATTTCGACGCCGGCGGTCGTGTGCCTATCCTGAGGCTTGCGGCCCTGGATTGAATTGGTGGGTTCAACTCATGACGAGGCATGGGGGTTTCGCCTTCTGACGAGGATCCAGTGTAAGAGACGATGTTCAGCGAGCCCGGAGTTTTGGCCTTTTGGTTTTTCCTGCAGCTGTACGTCTAGCATATACTGAATACGATGGATGACTAGTCCAATGAAAACCAGCAGAGAGGCGGGACGTTACTGACGTAGGTGTAAGTGCAGAGCCTCATTTCCACTCGGAAACGCCAAGCAAAACATCCGGGGAGAGTTTCGTAGCACTCTGGTGAGATTCGGGAGGGCGTCGGAGACGATGACGGCTTTCAAACGCTCTGGGCAGATATAGTGTGGACCCCGAAAATTCATGTCGTGTCCGAGACGAGACGATGTTGGTGCAAGATTCAGATTTTCATCATGAACGGGCAGTTGTGCCATAGCTACGGCAGTTTCAGTACTTGTAGATGAGGCTTGTCAGAAGGCGGGAAGATTGGATGCCAAGACCTTCGTTGCAAACCAGAGTGTTTGGCGTTGAGTGCCGTTTCAATAAATACAGGCTGAGACGCCGGTTTCGCCTGGATGACAAGCTGGAAACGCAATGTGGTGGGCAAGCAGGAGAAACACCGAGATCCGAGATGGGCAATTTCGCGAAAGACGCCAGGCCAGACCGGTGGCGGCCCATTTGGGTTGATGCGGAAGCCGGGCCACTTGACAGCAGAAGCAAGATTGTGATGGTTCGCCAGAACAATGTGTTTCCAAGAATGGGGCGCTGCATCCAAAGGGCAGCAAGGCGGAAAATAGCAAGAGAGTTTGGTGAGATGGGACGAAATCTATGAGACGGTTGACTGGACGACGCTGCGAGAGTGTGTGCTCACGTCACTGACAGCGGGAGTTTGCTGTTCTTTGCAAGGTTTGCACTACAGGGTTTCGGAGGGGTAACGGCCGCCGCGCAGGCATGAAAAACAATTTTTTGACGTCAGTCTTGGCCATGATATTGCGGGATGAGTGAATCAATGCCAGACTGTTGCGAAACACAAGTAACAAAGGCGTCGTCTTGCAATAGAGTCTGAGGATTGATGGCGGGCAATGCGAATGTCACCAGTGGTGAGAGACCAGGCGTGTTATATAAGCAGCCGCCGCGGTTTGCGAGCATGAAAAAAGAAGGCTAGTCAACTGGCAGCAACGAGGATCGCACCTGGTCACACCTCTCGCCAGACGGGGCGACGGGGTGCTCGTGTTCAAGCCAGTGGAGAAGATTGGACTCGCTAAGACAGGGGTAGAAGCTAAAAGTGGTTAATTTGCCGAGAGCTCCTGGGTGCAAAAAAACACGAGTCGGCCAGTCAGAGGCTGCGGAGGAGGCCATTCTGTTGCTTTTATTGGGTCCATACCATCGTACCTATGTGCAAGCCACCAGCCACGGGGGGAGCCAGCTGCAAAGATTGCCATTGCGCCCCACTCCCTCCCGTTCCTGGACCAGGAAGGCACCTCTGGCTTTGCCTTGCCTTGCCGCCCCTGCCCCTTCCTCTTCTCCTTCCTGCTGCTGTTCACTCGTACCGTCTGCCAGGCTCTGGCATTCCAGGCATCTTGCAGTGCGAGTGGGCTCCTTCCTCCCTTTTCCACAGCAACGCTGCTCCAACCTCCCGGTCCCCCGTCGAACTTCTGCTCGTCGGACAGCAACCGTTCACACTCGCTCCAGCCTTCCCGCCCCTGGGTGACCCTTTTCCAGACTTCAAACCATAGAGTCAAAGAGGTTATTGCCCAGTCATTCGTTCCCGCACCTTCGCTCCCGTACTCTGTACCATCGTCGCCGTTGCCCGTTGCCGCCACTTTTCTCCGTAACCGTCATCGCTCTTGACTCTGGCCTCTGATTCTTGCCATCCTCCGTCACGGGCCTCCGACGCCTCCACGATACCCGCACACTCCCAAGCCGACTGACCTCCCTTGCCGCACATCGAAACATCCATTCCTCATCTGTTCGCACCATCGTCCCCTTCGTTCGCGACGACACATCGGACTACGCCGGTCCTCTCTCTCTCTCTCTCTCTCTCTTCCCCGCCGCACTTCATCCATATCACGTCGACGCCGTCGCTCGGCCTCGATCCTCGACCGTTGCTCGACTGTTCTTTCGTTCCTCCCTTGCAGAGAGAATCCCGCATTCTCCAAAGGACTATTTCAACGCCTTTATCCCATCGTCGCCAATACAATTCGACGTTCGCTCTGCCCGACTCGACCCGATCAACTGCCTCATCGCCGTAGGTCGGCCCGTAGCCCATTATGTCAGGCTTCGGCGACTTCACCAACATCTGCCACATGGCGCCACTGCCACTGTGTGCATCCATCGGACCCGTCACGGAGGTCACCAGCGGTGTTGGTATTGAGCCGGACTGCTATGCGCGCAACATCGAGTTGGCAAACACCATCATCTTCGAGGGTGCCGCTAGTGCCATGCACATCGTCGCCCTCCTCATGACCGTCGTCATGATCTTGCACATCCGCGGCAAGTTTACTGCTGTTGGTATGTCAGCTCTCGGTCCCGCTACGTTATAAGAATAACGCTGACATGGCACCCGCAGGTCGCAAGGAAATCCTTATGTTTTTCTACATCTATATGCTCCTCAGCTTCATCTCGCTTTGCGTCGACGCCGGTGTCATCCCCCGGGCTCGGATCCGTACCCATACTTTGTCTCAGTGCAGAACGGCTTGACATCGGCTTTGATCACTTGCTTATTGATCAACGGCTTTGTTGGATTCCAGCTGTACGAGGACGGCACCCTTCTCTCCGTCTGGCTGCTGCGCGTCTGTTCCTTGGCAGCTTTTGCGATATGCTTTCTGGTTTCGCTTGCGACCTTCAAGTCATGGGCTGGCCTGGGGCCCACCAACACCGTCGGCCTTTTTGTCGTTCTGTACTTGCTGAACGCCATCGAGCTCTTCGTCTATATCGCTCTCCAGATCCTTCTCGTCGTTAGGACTCTGCAGGACCGCTGGCCCCTGGGTGACATCGCCTTTGGCGTCTTCTTCTTCGTAGTGGGACAGGTCATTCTGTATGCTGTGAGCGCGCAGATTTGCACCGCCGTTAGCCACTACCTCGACGGCCTCTTCTTCGCCACCATCTGCAACCTATTGGGCGTCATGATGGTGTACAAGGTATGGGATTCCGCTTGTCCAGGCTGGAGGGTAATACTGACAATGCTGTGTAGTACTGGGACTCCATCACTCGCGAGGATCTCGAGTTCTCTGTTGGAACTAGAATGAACAACTGGGAGGTCAAGGAGCTGTTGCCCGAGGAGGATCGCCGAGCGACCGTATACGCGGATGACCCTTACGGACAGGCTAGCGGCTACGACCACTCGTACTCCCCGTCGCCGGCGCCAGCGCGCTACTCTGCTCGGTATTGATGCGTCATGGAGATGGGTTCACAGTGTTGTGTGGCTTTTCATACAAAAATAGTTCTTTGTTTCGACAGCGTTTTTATTTTTATTTTTACGACAGGCGTCCGGGTGTTGCCGGTTCGCAGTACGGGGCTTCCATCTGGCTTGGTTGCACCGAGGATGACGAATGGGGAGCATTGAATCAAGATTGGCGTTTGGGGGGGAAACTATCTTTACAGGTTGGCTGCATACAGATCCCGAGGCACGGCCTTTTTTGAGTTTTCGATCTCGGTGAGCAGTAGAAGTGGGGCCGGCTGTAGACGGAACAGGGAAAGAGGAGGATAATAACATTAACGCGTATAGGTAATGATGCTCGTGAGCATTCGTAGTACATAGTTTAATACTATCATGAAACAAGGCAACTGTAATGAGTCAACGAGGCTGAATTGCAAACCAGGGGGGATGTAGGAGGAAGAGGAGGAGGGGGGGAGGGATGCAGCGACAACTGAGCCGGCTGCATAGTAGTAGATGGACTTGCAGGGCTGTGACGTGATGACACTGCATAGTATACTGCGTAGGTTGATGCCAGGTACCTTTTGGAGTCTGCTAAGGCTGTTTCGCTGCAAGTCAAAAGATGCTATGTATAGGGAGGTGGCGAAGATTGAAAGGTATAATTGTCTGCCCAGCTTAGTCGCGAGCAACTGGGTACTCTCGGACATGCCGAGAGGGTACGAGGTATACGAAGAGGATATACCATCGATCTAGGACAAGCTTTGACAACTCCGCCACAGCAAAGCATATGTATTGTGCCTTTGGGCGAATTATACTTCGTGAGTTCTAGGCTGACCAAGTTCTTAACTCCTAGATTAACCTTAAGGGCAAATCGATAATCTCTACCCATGAAACGAAGTCATCCGTACTGACCGAGCAGTGCGAGCATGTCGGGGTAGGTTAGACGTCGAGGGAGGGGCGAGCGAGAAACAAGCTAAGGTTTTCACGATCTGCGTTGCAGGATTTGTAGCAGCGTCCGTGTTCTGCCCCATGGTGGCATTGGCCGCGCATTGGGTTTCTTTAAAGGGAGGCGGAGGTGGAGCTGCTGGGGGTGGGAGGCGGACACGGGCTTGCAAGAAAAGAGAGAGAGAGGGAGAGGGAGCGAGAGAGGGTCGGACTGACAGTGAACAAATGCCAGAGTGTCGAATACCCATTGGGAGAGACATGGGAAAGGTGGACAGTAGGTATGTTCCAAGCTAAAAAGACAGTCATGGATGACAGTGCACGAGAGAAGTAGAGGGGGGGTACCCAGGTTGAGGCACGTTATCGGGTCCATCGGATCTGTAATCGGGGTGCGCTAGCCTGAAGCCAAGGGGCCTTTCGTGCACTTGCGTCCAATCACGTGGTGCATTAGCGACAAACGCAATGCGGAACATTCGATTTCACTATCTGTAAGGTGGTCAGGTAATCATGATACTGGATTTCGAGTTGTCGTGGACGGGCTGCTCCGTATACTGCGACGCCTCAGGTACCGACAATGTAGAATCCGAGACCGAGTGTCTAATGCAGAGGGCCAGGTACCCCAAGGGGAGAAAAAGACGAATAGTAGCTGGCCTAGGTTCAGGCAATCAAAGTCAAGCAAGACCAGAGGGGGGGCCACTTGGCCTTGCATAGCATACACGCCTATTTCACTAGGTTGCCTCAACTATCGATCCTATTCAGCAGGGTATACAAGGTAGCGCACCCCGAAGTAGAACAGGGGTGGGTTGTTTGGAAACGCATACCCCCATGCGATTACTATCCATACTCGTCCCCAGCTTTCCCTTTTTCTTGCCGTGAGGCAAGTGCAGCACCAACGGCATGACGGACTAATCATTGTGTTTGGCCTCTTCCTACTTTCTCCGTGTATGTATAGTGCCAAGGTCCTGTGGGTTTAGGACCTCTTTCCTTGCGGGACCTCCCACACACCTGCCATTGTGCAGAAGCTCTTCGTCATTTTGCAATATCCCTTACCTCTCCTTCGCAGCGGCTTGGGGCTTTAATTAGTCTTTGTTCTAATTAAATGTACGCCTTTGTGCAGATAATCCAGGCCAAGGCCACTCTGTCATCTGGCCATTTAGTAGTCCTTGTCTCACGGACGGACAGCAACTGATGACTTCCGACAGCCCATACTAATTGATCCCGTCCACCTCGTCAATCGACATCCAGTTTTTCGTTCCCCTTTCCTCCCCCTTCCCCTCCCTTTCAATTTCCTTGGCCACAGGGGGAGAAGAGAGAAAGAAGATAGGGTCGAATCTCTCTTGCGCCAGATCACGTGCGAACACGCGATACCCCGTTGCAACCAACCGCAGCCGCATCCGCAAGTCGCCCTCGTGGCCATTCAATCAAAATCACCGTGTGGTCGGTCCACAACCGCCGGTCCAGCCCATATCGCCGAGCGCATCCGCATCAACTCAGCGGCAGTGCGCAGCGCAGCACAATCGACCTTTTCCTGGGAAGTTGGCCGCACGAGGTTCTGCCCCCCTGCGTTCATTTTATCTGCCCGGCATTATCGTCATTATCCCCCGACCGAGCTGCTACATACCACCGGGTCCACCCAGCCTATAGTCCCGTCTGCAAAAGCCCCCAACTAGCAACGAACGACATCCAACGCGATCGCCTAGTCTTCGTTGTTCCCCCCCCCCCACCCGCGCTACTGTTGCTCAATTTTTTATTCATTTTCCCCTTCTTTCTTTCTCAATACCTTCCCTGGTACACTAAGAAGCGCCATCTTCGAAACTGCGCCGCCTGACGTCTCGCTCACTCACACCACACCCACATCCCGCTGCACTCGAGTTTTCCTATCTTGACCCTATCATCCCTCCTTCATCTCACTCAGCTCATCTCACTCGTCTCATCTGCCATCGCCTCAACTCGCATCGGCCGTCTCCCGGGCACTTCATTACCTACCTGACTTTCAGGACCTGCAGTGTTCGTCTGCTTGTGCACGGGGCCAGCATAATCACCCAAGGGTTATAGCGGATTGATCGACGAACGCGACGTCTTCGGCTTATCCACCCCCCTGCGCGTACCCCGACGCAAAGGCCGCACCTCATTTCCATCCCAGTCCCCCATCATCTTCAATGCGAAACCGCATCCTTTTCTGGACCGGTCGCACCCTCGTGCTAGAGTAATCTCGATTTTCTGCCCGACCGGTTTTTTCTCGGTCACGAGGCATCTCCAAACTTTGGATGAACCACATTCGTTGGATTCAACAGCCTCATTCACTTGTACTTCCAGACCTGTGAATTTGGCGCCTTTTCGCCTCGCCACGCCCCCCCTAATAGGGTCCCCGTCGCCATGCACCTCGACCACGGCGACGGCAGGAGGCCGACGCCCCAAGATGAAGAGAGCTACTGGCAATCCGTGCAACTGCTGCAGAAAGAAGACGACGAGAGACTCGAGAGCGAGTTCATGGCTAACACAAAGTACTATATGGGCCGCCTGACGGACCTGAACCTCCAGAAGCAGGAGCTCGAAAGACGTGCACTCGAGGTCCACCGTGCCATTACTCGAGAGCACAAGAGCTTGGAAGACATTACCAACCACTTCCAGGAAGCTAGGAGGGACCTTCACCTTCAGCGCGAGCACCACCATAGGGCGGTGGCCGCCTGGTTTGCCGAGGAACGCCGCAAGGAGAATGACGAACGGGCGAGGATCGCCGCTGCTGCGCTTGCTGCACCCTCGCGTCGCGATATTGCGCCTGCCGACGTTACGCAGACCAACAACTCGGCCGATGGGTTACCCAACGGCAAAACCGTCAACGGAGATCATCGCAACGGTGCCCACCCGTCGATTCCAATCCCGGGCAGGGTTGAACAGCCGCCGCTCACAATGATTGTTGATGCACTGGGCCGCCCCGTCGGGCCTGTGAATCGACTAATATCCAGCAACAGGTCCATCATATTCCTGTCTGGGTTACCTCAGAAAAGGCCGGTGCATCTTCGTGACGGCGTTGCGTTTAACCAGGAGGATTTGAAGCAGCTTGTAGAAGCGGAGGACAAGTGGATGGGCGCCGTGATCCAGGCGACTGGTCTCGTCCGGAAACAAGCGCAGCAGTGCAGTTTGTGTGCCCAGGGTCAAGGCCCCTTTGCCCAATGCATCAGTCTCGACATGCCCGAGTTCCAGGCGTGTGGTAACTGCGTGTGGCAAAGATCAAGTTGCTGCGAAGCACCGATAGCAGAGCAAACGCCGACTATCACGAAGTTCAGAGCCTTCAATGCGCCTGCGCACGAGCTCCAAAATGAGCGCTTTTCAAATGGCAGCTTCACCAACGGCACTGCAACCCCCGTCTCCCTCAGCCGACCAAACTCGCGAGACAAGAGTTTTGCTGAGGGCTCAACAGCTACTGACGAGGGGGAAGAAGACTTGACTCCGATCACCAAGGCTACCCTCACCCTCAAGCACGACGGCGAGGTCTACACCCACCCAGAGTGTATGGAAGGTGTCCCGGTTGCGAAGGTCGACCAGAGCCATCCCTACTGGGATCCGTCTTGGCCCGAGATCGCGCCAATGATCGAACCTACTCTGCAGACGTGGCGAGACAAGCTACAGGCCGCCCTCGAGAAGGGGCAGACTAGTATGAAATTCCAGCTGGGCCGACAGGTGAATCGCGGAGAGACCATCCTAAAGTTTCTAGAGGACGCCGATTTTTGCCCTTACCAATTAGTCGGGAAGAAGTACATGATGTCCCGCCTGGTTTCTTACGACACCATTTTCCGTATGGCCGACACCCTGCGAACCCTGGAAGGCTTCAAGACGCTTGACATCACCCCGTTGGAATGGTTGCGGCAGCGTTTGCAGGAGATCATTACCGCGGAGGGCTCCAGCTTCAACCTCGCCAAGACGATTCACGACTTTTACCACGATTCAAAGTACGTCGCCTTGAGACTTGCCAACGGCAAGAAGAGCATCGGTCGACCATCGGGCATGAAAATGACACCAAAGGACTCTCCCATCTCGGCCAAGGGCACGCCGAGTACGAAGAAGCGTAAGCTTTTCATCAACGAGGAGTTTCCTGGCGTCTCGCAGCGCCCGCTTGCGCCAACACCGACACACCAATCCCAGCCTCAGCCACTGTTGCAGTCGCAGCCCCAGATTTTCCAAGAGGAGCCACAGGGGAGCGCGCCGCCGACGCCCGAGTTTGCTAGGCCGTTCAAGAAGTTCAAGATTACGCAATTTCCTAAAACGGCCAAGGACCTCGATCTCGTCTACGATGGCTTCACTGACACCGACGACTACAGCGGCGATCACATTGGCAAGCACGACTGGGCGTTGAACCGGATCAAGTCCCGACTGAACACCGTTAGCACCGGTGTGACGCAGTACTGGCACTGGATCCCCGACGACGGCGAGCAGGTCTTTGAGCATCAAGTACTCGCCGAAGGAGATACCTTCACCTGGGGCATATACGCCAAACCGATCAACTTTCACTTGGAGTTGGGGCATGTTCAGGAGATGCGATGGGCTACCGGAACCCTCAAGGTCATCGTTGTGTGCAAGGAGGGCGTCGTGGTCTCGCCTGACGGCAAGCCGAGAGGCGATCTTTTGGTCGAGTTCAAGCGAGAACGCACTAAGCGGCGCTTCTTGGTCTTTTGCAGCAAGAAGGGCATTGAGCTAGAGAAGGTCGAGAGGTGAGTATCCCGTCCTTACTGCGAAGTATAAACGCCGCTGACCAAACATTACAGGGACGTCATTGAGAGGACGTGGGAAGAATACGAGTCCCCCGATGTGCCGGCGATGCCGGATTCGGAAATCGATTAGAAGCTTTCGGCGCTGCGCAAAGCATGTTGACACGCAGGGATATGTGTCTGTTGCGCTGAGGAGGATGGGAGAACAGTGGAGATACCCCTTGGTTACTGGTTTCGTCGGGTCTCGATTTCCGCAGCTCGAGAGGGAACTCGGCTGCGTGGGCGTTTTGGGCGTGTGATACGGGACGCAAAGGGGAAAATGCCATGCGGGCTGACTGCGCCCGTCCCAAGCGGCATTTGCGAGGGGTGATTGTCGCCATGGTTTGGCCGTTTGTCATAATCGTAATTGGGGCGTCGTCGCTTGGGACAGTTTCGGCATGACGGAGTTTGTGATTTACTGGTGAAAAGCCTCTGGCGATCCAGCAGACCTGTCTGCTTTCTCTTCGGGGTCTTGCGTGGAGGCTCTAGACAAGAGTCCCTTTCTTACAGGACCTGTTTCTTCTAGTTTCTGGGCGCGATAGATAGAGCGGCCTCCAGGGCCGATCTAATCAACGTTGTTCCCAAAGGGGCCTGGGTCCGGTATCTGCGCGATCTAGCCGTCCAACGAGTTGCGCACGAACATTGATTGTTTCCATCGGAAGCTACGGGTGGGTAGACGTCCCCGTCCCGTCACTTGGAAGAGGGGGACCAATCGATACTTCATCTCGTAAGAAAAACGCCATGCGCCGAAACCTTCGTGCCGAGCTTCGTGACCAAAGCCGGATGACAACCGATGGAGTACCGCGGCGGCACTTGGATGCCGGTACGCGACGGGCCAGGGACACCGACGCTGTGTGCTTGCATCGAAGGGTGGACGCAGGCATATGAAGAACCGATTAGATCCATGTTTCTCCAAGTTTGGAGGGGCTGGGTCAGCGGTGAAGAGGACGGGGACGGAGGCGATGCTACGGATGGAGGCCGGGACCCGGCAACGTCACGCCCCACTTCTCGGGCTGGGCTGTCTCACCGGGAACCAAGTCCCAGTCCTTTGAAGTCAACCGCATAGGGAATTCACCAGCACTTCAGAAAAGACATCGCCAAGATTGTTTCGTGCATGGACTCGTGGTATATCATGGTCGGTGACGTGGCCTCTCTCTGCGCAGGGATAGGTTAGTGAACCCGAACACATCTCGGTCGGTGGTTGAACGCCATCCTATGCGAAGCCGACCGACTCTATGCTTCACTGCCGGCTCCGTAGCTGCGCCTGGTGACGATTTCCTCCATGCAGCGTGGTTTCAAGGCCAGAATACCTCACGGCACGCAGAACACCGCGACGTCAAACGACGCGCAGCCTTCGAAGCAAGCAACAATCCAACACTCGGTTTTCTGAGGCAGAAGAGACCAACACTCCCAAGACTACCTTCCAGATCTGGATAGACGGCAATTTCAAGAATCTTGCGAAGGAGTACCGAGTGCGTTGGGGCAAGTCAAACGATATCATTGACCCAGACTTCCCGCTCAAGGACTCCCCTGAAGTTTTGAATACCTCCGATTATGCTGACAAACGGCTGAACCGGCAGGACCAGGTTATTCACCTGGAGAGCCGAACTGGGATAAGCAAGCCATCGCACTTGCGATCGCCCACGACACCAATATGAGATTGGACTACTGGGTCCCTTGTCAAGGGTTCTCTCTACAAGGCGTGCTTGTCATTGATGCTCCTTTGAATACAATGTAAAAAGAATCAAAGATTCTTCCGGGCGGCGAAGCACGCGAGTTTTCTTTATGGACTTTCGCACCTGGAGATCGTCTGGCTCGGCATCATCAATTCAAGGCCTCGATCATCCAAGGCAGATTTCGCACGGTCGCGGCCAGCAGATATATCCGACGCCTCCAGTTTACGTCTTTGTAACCCAGCATGATATACCTTGGTCGAATAATCCAGCTTCCACACGCTGTCCTACCGCCTGTCGGGTTGATCACAACGTCCAGCCAGTCGTTCTCTATATCAATACCGACACGACCCACGTCTGCAAAGTCTCTGTCCAGTGTCGACTTTCTACTTTTACCAGCGCCAAGGCTCTCTCAACCGTCACAACGCCGTGGTTCTCTCATCTTGGGATGACGTATCGAATCCCACCTAGGATATTGGCAACGCCGAGTATCATCGCCGAACCCACAGCGCTTGTTCACGCCAGGCTTCGGAGGAAAAACCAAAGTCCTGAAGCTGGAGTGATGCTGCTGGTACTGGAATGAGACGACCTCTCCTGCGTCTATTCGAATTGAACATGTCGTCGAAGCTTCGCGCTCATGTTTATGCCTATCTCCTCGTGTCCACGTTGCTTTAATAGTAACACGGTCCTCACTTGTTATTAGACATAACAGTTCTCGGCCCGTCGTCCAACGGAAGTCTAAAAGGTTTGTCTTGAATTCTTATATTTATTCCATTGAATATGCAATGCAAAGTGTATCAATGGGTTGCGCTAGAAGTATCAAGTCGCTCACTAACTAATTCAAAGCTTCGATGGCGGTGCCTCACAACCACACCCATCAGTCTCGCCCTTCACTGCCTTGCTCGACTCCACCAAAGTACTCTTGTTGAAACTCTGCTGGCTGGGCGGCACGTCCAGAGCGGGGTTCTTGTCAAAGAAGTTGACCGGCTTCAAGTGCACCTTGAGGATCTCGACCGGCATCACCGGGAAGTCCTCGATTCTCGGCACGTGGTTGATGCCGAACTGCACCCAGACCACAATGTCGGACTCGGGCGTCAAGGTCTCGTTGCGCTGCGACCAGCCTCTGACGCCGGTTCCTCCGCGCGACTGGTTCGTGTACCAGCCTCCGGCATAGAGTTCCCGGTCTCGGTAGGTCGTGACGTAAATGTTGTGGTCTGCGAACTCAGCGCGCTTGTAGTTGAAGCTGTCGTTGTCGCTCATGAGCTTCTGGAAGGGCGGGGCCATGATCTTGTAGGCTACCGGCTTGCCGTTGACGGGGTTCAGCGAGTTGGGGTTGGCGATCTTGAACGTCCTGTTGGAGTCGATATCGAGGTCTAACCCTGACGTCTTGTCGACGACCTGTTCCACGACTTCGTACCCGGTGCCGTGGGGGTTCCAGTCGGGGTCCCGCGGCATCCTGTGGGCCTCCGAGTAGACCAGCTGGTTGGTGTGGCCGTCAATCATCGGGTCGACGCGGAGCGAGAAGATGTGCTGATGGTGGCAGGCGAGAACACCGGGGTGGACGACGGTGCCGAATGACGTGCCCACCTTGTTCAGCTCGTGGTCAATGGGCTGCGTGGAGAGAATGCCGGTGGCGCGGACCTCGTAAGTCACTTCACCTGCTTGGTTGAAGATGAACATGAGGATGTACTCGTAGTTGGAGACGGTGATGATGCTCTGAAGAACCAGCTCCCGGGATCGAACGACGGCAGCGCGGCCCGTCCGGTAGTTGGTGTGCTTCCAGGCGATTCCGGCATCTTGCTCGTGGATGCAGATGCAGTTCTCTCTGGGGTCCGGCTGGCCGCGGTCGTCGGCGATGACGCCGCTGAGGTACTGGATGCTTCCCAAGCAGTCACAGCCCAGTTGGAGGTTGTTTGCGGTGGCGCCGGCGCCGGCATCACCCAGGTCGAAGGCGGCCTTCTTGTGGAAAGGGTGGCGAGGGTCGCCGTAGGGCACGCTCATCTCCGAGAGGGACAGTCTGTAGAACAGCGGCCGACCATCGTACTTGACGTTGTAAAGCACCATACCTTCACGCTGGTTGAATCCTACGCAAGAGTTAGTCGCTTGTGTGATACCCCGGACTGCGACGGTCTCTACATACCAATGAAGAAACTCCATTTCTGCCATTCCAGAATGTTGCCGGTCTCTCCAACAGGAGTGACGGTGAAGCTGGGCCCTTCAGGCTGACTGACGTGCAGGGGCTTGAGGTCCTTGCGCAGGTTCTGACTTTCAGGGATGTACTCGTTTGCAGGAGCGACCTTGTAAGGACTCAGAGGCTTGATGGTGTTGTCCGCACCAGTTGGCATGATGTCGATGCGGATGATCTTGTACTCGTTGCATTCAACCACTGGCAAGATAGGAAGTGGGAACGCGTAGTGGTTCGAGTCGGGCTCGGCACTGTTGTTCGGGTCTCTCATGTAGAGGAAGACCTGGTAGAGGCGCTCATCATCGTTGACGCCGTCCGACCCTGATCACCGTTAGTCTTCTCTTCCGTCGCCGTTTGGCAGATGGGTTGCTTGCCGTAAATCCAAGGATCGGCGCAAACCACAGCGCCCTCGGGAAGCTCAAGTTTCTTGATCTCAGCCAAGACCTTAGGGTCCTCGAGGGCGATCTTCTCAACCTTCTGGGCCTCATCGTAATCCACGTTGCCGTGGACGTTGGCTCCCAGCTTGACGTTGCTCTCAACCTTCCCCGTCGTCAAGTTGATAATCGCTTCATGGAAGAGGTCCTATTGCGAGCTGGGTTAGTATTCGTTTGGATATTGTGAGGCTTTCTAGTCTTCTTACTGTCCCTCGAATATAGTAGGCCAGGAAAACCCGACGATCAGGCTGGGCCGGAGACAGTCCCTTGTCCTTCGCTTCCAAGTAAGGCACCAGTTCCGCCTTGGCCGGTTCGCTGAGCGTCACCACTTTGAACTGCAGAGAAACAGACTGTGGCCAAGAAGTCTGTATCACCTGTGCAGCGGCTTGAATCTCCGCACCCGAGAGGGGGCAGAGGGGATGCGGGACTAACATTTTGAGAGTTACTGAGTAGTCTGATCAAAGCAACGACGAGTGAAGAAAAGAGAGCATGCAAAGAATGAATGAGAAAGAGGAAAGGCTGGAATTTATAAGACTGGATGTGGATGTTTGGATTTGGTTGCTGGCCTCAAACCGCGGTGGAAACTTTGCTTCTTATCAGTCCCCGATTCAGCAACGTAGGTTCCGGCGCATAGAGGGGTCTGCATTTCAGGGGTGGCGCAGGCTCCGGTTATTTTGTGGTAGATCGGGTGACCCGCTTCTTCCGTCCAGGGTCGAGCGTTCTGCAGCTTTCTTCCGTCGTGTTACTACATCTTGGCAGCTAGCCTTATCATCAAGTATGACCCTTGTCTATTGGCCTCCGG